TGGTCAAACCCAAACAAAAACATTGTTTTCAATCGTTATGAGTCTACCAATTGAATAGAATTTTATTATAAACAATTGTCTTGTAAATGGAATTTTTAAAGCATTCTGAATGTAAAAATAAAGAAAAAAGTGCAAGACAATAAGAAACACTACCTGGCAAAAAAAAGTGAAGTTTTGTTGAAATCGGTTGAAAAATGTAGGAAATCCGATCCCATATATAAACGAAGACACACACACACACACACACACACAACCTGGGCTTTATAATAAGTATAACTCGATATGAATTGCCCCCCTTTCATTCTCGACAGCGATGCCTCTTAATTGTGTTTTCAAATTGATTTCGTGCAAAAACAATTGTGTTTTTCCAATTTTGGGCGTTGTCAGAACCACCGTAAGGTAATTTTACGTAGTCCTGTGAAGTTTTGTTGAAATCGGTTGAAAAATGTAGGAAATTCGACCCAATATATAAATGTACACACACACACACACACACACACACACACACACACACAACCTGGGTTTTATAATAAGTAAGATTACAGATTTAAATAGGGAAAAACTTGCAACCAGAAAATGTGGGTTCCGCGTGCGCTTTCGCTTATGGAACTGAAAAATTGCCTTTCTTTTGTGCTGCAGTCTTTGAAATTGAAGGTAATTATATTTAAATAAATTTAGCTTCCATTTGTTTTTATATGCGTTCTGATAAAATCTAATTACTTTCTGAAGACTCTAATATTCAAATGAATTTAATTTACATTTGTTTTTATGTCCTTTCTGACGAACGAACTCTACTAGGATTCGAACGCGGCTATCAGATTTATTATTACGAGCCGCTATCCATTTCACCACCTGCACATCCTGTTCGAATTTCATTCGAGTTCCTTATTTTACTTACGCGCAAATACCCTTGGGAAAGGTATGAATCTATCCCCTCCCCCAGAAATGCGTTAAATATTAGAACAAACTGGTCTCTATAGCCTTGATTGGCAACTAGCCTAGGGAAAGGATAACTCTGAATTCGTATGTAGCACATACTATGCAGCTAATGAAAGGATCGTGTAGTTTACAATGACTATGATTGCAACAGCAGTCGCTCTTTTTCTTCTTCTGGGAGAATATCATTACATTTCAAACTCCCTAATATTTTTAAGATAACATTTAAGACGAAATTTTATCGCCATGATCTCTCCCTCACCACGTCTCTCTCTCTCTCTCTCTCTCTCTCTCTCTCTCTCTCTCATCTATCTATCTCTTTCTTAAAACCTTCTTTTTGTTAACATGCTTATATTTCCCATATATCATATCAGCCAATCAATGGACACCTGATGATGACCAGAGGGTACTTGATCGAAACGTTGCATCTATGACGATATCTCTATCAACCAAGATGAGAACAACAGTTGGAAATAATGCAAGTCTATTGACAATTACTCATCTCAGAAACGAAATACTAAATTAGGTTTAATATTTATTTTCATAGGCATTTCTTTCATTACAAACCAAATGTTCAATATCATTATCTTCATTAATATTTATTTACACATTCAAAACATTTACTTCCTCGATCCAGTGCCCACTCATCTTTTCTTCATCTGTTCCAATTATCAACTCATGCTTGCCCTAAGAGAACGAGAGTAACACGAGAACGAAAGTAATACGAAAAGGAGAGTAACACGAGAAGGAGAGTTGCCAAGGTTTCTCAGTACAACGGATATTGTTTTTTACCGCACCTCATAGAATATTTTTTTGTGAAAAATTAATGAGGTCCGATATGTAAACACTTCGCTTTCCACAACAGATTATATGTAAATCTAATTTTATTTATTATTCTATCATTTCGAGTGGAAATTGTGAGATAATTTGCACACAATTTTTAAATTTTGATACAATAAATATTAAAGTATATAACAGATTTATTCTAATAGTAACGTTTGCATTAATTCTTGTTTACTAATAAACTATTTCTTCCTGATTTACAATTCATTAGAATTGTATTTTTAAATGTCATATGAGTTCCAGGTGTAGATAATTATGACTCTCCACAGAATCCTTTGTGTAAATTGCCACGCCTTCTCGGGAAACAGTGGAGTGATTTCTCGCTATTTTCTCGATAATTTTGAATTCGAAATATTCCTTCTAGGCTGGTTTCCACCCAAGGCTAGAGTTCCCAGTCTAGCCTGCTATTTAATCCATAGCTGTGAGGTCAAATATGGATTCATGATTTCCTCCAGGGGGTACTTATGAACACATTAGACAAGGACGGAATTTGAACTCGGGTCATCGATTTCTTTCCACGATCACAATCATTTCACTACTATCAGGTCATCCTATAAGTTCTGTCCGAATTTTAACTTTTTGGTAAAATGAACGAAATTTAAAGAGTATTTTATAATGTCTAATGGAGCTAAACATTATTTTTATGTTTAGATGCATTTAAACTGATCAAATTTTATTTCAGAGAACAATAAAATTAAATTTTGTTTGATTAAAACCCTGCTAACATGGAAGTACCCAAGAATCATTTGAGGCACATAATGCTTTATGAGTTCAAGAAAGGAAACTCAGCAGCCGAAGTGGCTAGAAACATTCACTCAGTTTATTGAGAGGAATGTGTGAATGAAAGAACTTGCAGAAGATGGTTTGCAAAATTCAGAGGTGGAGATTTCACCCTTGAAGATGAAGATCGAACCGGACGTCCAGTTGAGTTAGATGAAAAGCTTCTTGAAGCAGCCCTTGAAGAAAATCCTGCTTTATCAGTTGAGGAATTGGTAGTGGTTCTCAGTTCAAACCATATAACTGTTCATCGTCATCTTCAACAACTTGGAAAAGTTCCTAAACTTGGAAAATGGGTGCCTCATGAATTGTCTGAAAACAACCTCAAATCCCGAGTTGACATCTGCTCTTCTCTCTATTCTCTCTATTGTTCCACCTTTTTTGGATAGACTTGTGACTGGCGACGAAAAATGGATCTTTTATCGAAATGTTAAGCGTCGTAGACAGTGGCTTGGTAAAGGGGAAGGACCCCAGCCACAGCCGAGAAGGGAACTTCATGGGTAAAAGGTTCTTCTTTCAATCTGGTGGGATCGCCAAGGAATAATCCACTTTGAATTCTTACCACCTAATGCAACAATCAATGCTCAAATATACTGTCAGCAATTAGAACGTTTGAACTAAGCTTTGAGGAAAAAAAAGATCTGCTCTAGTGAATCGAAAAGAGATGATGTTTCATCAGGACAATGCGCGACCCCACACAGCAAGAATCACGTCACAAAAGATCGAAGAACTTGGTTGGGAGAAAATTCCTCATCCACCTTATTCTCCCGATCTTGCTCCTTCAGACTACTATTTGTTTCGTAGCTTACAGAATCATTTGGAAGAAACAGTTTTTGTAACACAGGAAGAGCTTAAAACTGACATTTGTGAATTCTTCGAATCAAAGCCAAAAGAATTTTACAGTAATGGAATTAGAAAGCTTGTTAATAGATGGAAGGAAGTCATAGATAATCAGGGAAAATACATTGTTGATTGAATCTGTAATTAAATGTAACATTTGGTCACTTGTTTTCTTTATTCAAAATTCGGACAGAACTTATGGGATGACCTGATACATCACACATGCACATACACACAGATACACACACACGCATCAATGGGCGTACCTATATATATATATATATATATATATATATATATATATATGTGTGTGTGTGTGTGTGTGTGTGTGTGTGTGTGTGTGTGTCCACTGATTCGCTAAAAAATGACCATACCATGATGAAAAAAAAATAACCCAAACTGAAAAAAAAACAGTTTTATCGCCAAAATCTTTGTTATTTATTAAAAGTAAAGACCAAAGGATTATTATTATTATTATTATTATTATTATTATTATTATATTTTTGATCCTTTTTAGCACGTTTGGAATTTTATTTTAAAATATTTTTTTTCGTCAGTGGCGTGGGCGGGGCAAAGATTAGTATTGGAAATTTTAGCGTGTTTTTGACGATGAAAAGACATTGATATGAAAATTCTTGCAAAAATCAAATAATTGTCGGATTTAAATTAAACTTAGGACTAATTCCCAAATGAATAAAATTACTTTTGAGATGTTATTTTTTAGAAAATCTTTGGAAAAGATGTTTTTACATTTGTTACCCCCACTTATTTAATTTTATGAAATTTCAAAAAAATTAAATTTTATGATTATATTAATTATAAACAGAGGTCCTGGGAGAATTTAAATCATGAATTTATTTTTGTAAAACAGGACACCCAATTACCGAAAATCTGCTCTGAATCGTGAAATAAAAATGCAATAAAACTAAAACATTATTTAATTAGAATTGATATTGATATTAAGTAAAAATTATATTTGCTATTCATAAATAGAAAATGTACTAATTATAATCCGAAACAAAAGTGAAGATGATGAAACAAAGTGGAGATTTTTTGTCATCAAAGACGCGTTCGACCACCGGAAAAAAATGTGCGTTCTCTTTGGCTTCTTCTGTTTGATAATGAAAGACAAAAACATTGTAAGAAAAAAATGTCTTAGAATTTCTGAGGACAAGTGAGCATCCTCTGTCAAATAGACAGACTTTCTTCGAGTCTAAATCATCAGGTCATAGGCTGGGGCAATAAATTTGATCTACGATGCCCACTTCTCCTCAGAGATCCCAAGATATTTTTTTCCTCACAATCTTTTTTTGCCTTTCTTACGTTATTAAACTGAAGAAGCCAAAAGAGTACATTTTTTCTGTGGTATATATATATATATATATATATATATATATATATATATATATATATATATATATATATATATATGTTAGGGGGAAAAGTATGACAAAGTGGAAAGTATATTCTTTGTGCCAATTATTACAAGAGAAGTTTTTTTTTTTTTTGCATTTTTGTTATTAATTTTCCTGACACTGTTTTGCTTTATAAAAAATTATATATAATTTTCTCGCATACATATATGTATAAATGCTTGCACTGACCTGAAGTTGTGTTGGTAGAGACCAGCTGAAAAGTATCTTCACAGTATTTTTGTACAGAAATGATAGCCTAAAAATTAGTTACATCACTACCCAGTCAGCCGTAATAAAACATGGTTATCAAGGATAACTAATTGAGTTATGGTTACAAATAAGGATTCGAATAAAAAGGCTTTCTTAAATTGGCCTTGTCAGTGAGTGCAACGTGCAACTGACAGACAAGAGACAGAAAAAAATGTTCATAATAATAGCAATCATTTCAAAGGAATCTGTTACTTTTCGTTGTATGAAAAGTTAAGATAGAAAACATTTTCTTTTTTTTCTTTTTTTTTTTTTCGGCGGGTGAGGTCCAGAAACAAGGCTCGAAGTAGTGGATAATTCTACTACAACTGCTATGAAAAGCGAGACCACTGAATAATTTATAACAGTATGGCCTGACCGACGAGAAACTTATCCCACCAAACAAGTGATACATTAATGAGTAATGTTTACAGTCACAATGCTATAGCTACCCGCATAAGCTATTAACATAAGTAACATCATTCAGAATGTGGTCACGTGTTTTGATTCTTAACTCTTGTAGTAGTAGTCGTTTTATTATTATACATGCCTCTCTTTATTAAGCTCATCTTTGTTGTTATATAAACGACGTTTCGTTCGCTGTACCCTACGTCTTCTTCAGGAAGCTATCGAAAACTTCTCGGAATTTTGAACACTTTAACCAGGGCCAGAGTGTACTACCCTCGAACACTTCGACCGGGATAAGTGCTGACTGGGAGCCCCGGGTAGAGCTTTGTGGCCCTCGCTATCTTATCAACATTTGCTTCTTCTTTTTTTTTTCTACCTACATTTATATACGTTATAACACAACTATTAAAGGATGACAAATTTTCACGGATTTTACGTCATTCTGGGGTCTTTTTTTACCAAATCCGTGAATTTGTTTTGCTTATGCCAAGTTTAGAACATTAAGATTCACTAGTTTTCATCCATAAAGTTGAATGCGTTAAAATTATTCAGCTTTTTAACAAGAAAAATTTCAAGATGTTAAAAACATTATTCATTTATTTAAAATGAAATAATCTATTCTGACATGTCTCTAATTAAATTTGCATTTAGATACATTGTATTTATTTTCAATTTTTCTAGTTGAATTATTCACCTATATTATCCATTATTGTACAGTACATAATTAGGTGACAATAAAATTTGTATTTTATATGAATACTACTTTAAATTGAAATGTAGTAGAGTAGGGGGGGCCGTATCATAGATTCGGGGTGTGCATGGGGTGGGAGAGGGCAAAACCCTTGTACCGACGCTGATTATACTCATCTTGATTGTTATACTTAAACGTTTGGTCTGCTGTACCGTCCGTCTTCGTCAGGTATCGAAACCTCATAATTTTGAACCGTACCCTTTAAAAAAATAAAATAAAAATAAAAAGCGATACCTAAGATTTAAAATGCATTTTAAAAATGAAAAATCATTCTTGAAGCTTTGAGTTTAGTTTTAATTCCAAGTTAATAGATTAAATTTAATATTCCCAATAGACAAAATACATTACTATATTTCAAACCGAATTTAAATTGATTGGAATTATATTTTTCTGGCTATCAGTAAAATCTATAAAATCCTCCATATTGACAAATCTGTCGACAAAAAATAATTCTCCTTATTAAAAAAATTTCAGAAATAAAATATTTCAGTTTGTGCCATGCATGATACACGCTTTGGTGATCATGTATCGAAAGATACATGACTGACGAGACAGATTTTTTTCTCGCGGTAGGTTGCCATTTCTTTCTGCGGTAGATCAATTGCCATACAAGGCTATAGAACCCAATCTGTCCTGCTATTTACTCATAGCTTGAAGAAACGGATTCATACCTTTCCCAACTGTATTGGCACGTAAGTGAATGTAATGGATTTGACTGGAATTCGAACTCGGCTCTCCGATTCCTCAATCCGAGCCGGTATCCATTATTTTTCTTAAATGTTATTTGAGAAAGATTATATGATTTAAAGTTTAATTAATCCGAATTGAAACAAATATTACTTACTTTTAGCTTAAAATATCGTGGAAAATCATTTTTTTTAATACGGTAATAGTTTTTTTTTTTTTTTTTTTTTTTTTACGTGTTGAATGACAGTCTGATGTTTGGGAAATTTAAGAGGACAGAATAGAAATAAAAATACATGATGAATACAACGTAAACGTCCATTTTTATAATTTTTTTTAACTATCCAGTAATCTTTAAAATTTTCAATATTTTAAGCATTCTAATATTTTATTGGATTTTAGGTACTTTGCCGTTATAGTCTTACGAACGAAGACGCTTGTTGCGGAAATGTTAAAAAATTACCAATAAATTTTAAATTTACTGTAGTCACCTCTCTTATTTTTTCGATAATGTCGTGAATGGATATCCGTATTTACAAAAATCGACACGTTTATATATACATCAAATAAATTCAAAATTCCTTTTAAAATGCTGGGGATCGTTGAATTGTAGTTAACTTTTCCATTTATGATGAGTAAATACATTTTCAACTTAATTACAATATTACTTGCCCGCTATAAATTAATAAAGAATTTTAAAAGATTTAAAAGGTTATAAAATTTATTATTCATGGAAATTTTTTTCTTAAGAAAATAGTGTCCATAATATTTTTTTCATAAATCAATTTTTCTAATTAAACAATTTCTTAGTTTTAATGCATTCTTTATTTCATGATTCAGAGCTTCTTTTATATGCCATGTCCCTTCAGGGTGTAGCGATAATGGCCCTCCACCTTCTCCTGTCTCTTGTAGCTCATAATAAGTTTTGTCTTTTTGTTATTTCTCCCAAACCATCTTGCCCGAGCCCATTAAGCATGTTGTTTTCCCCTGTCCCTATTTCCCTCTATCCATCCTGTGAGTATCAGATTTTCCAAGCCCTCCTTTCTTATCACGTGTCCCAGAAATTTCAACTGACTCTTCCTGATGTTAAGTATAAGTTTCCTCTTTGTTTCCATTCTCACCAAAACCTCGCCGTTGCTCACATGTTCGGCCCATTGTATTCTCGTCATATTTCTGTAGAACCACATTTATGTTGCTTCGAGTCTCATTTTCATCTTTGAGGAGATTGTCCAGCATTCGCTGCCATACAGGAGGACAGATGTCACGTAACCGTTCATTACTCTTTTCTTTGTTTCTAACGAAATTTTTCTGTTTCTTAATCCTCTGCTTGGCTTTTAGAATGCCTCTTTAACCATCCCAATGCGCCTTCGGATTTTAGTATCACACTTTCCGTTGTCTGTTAAAACACTTCTCAGATATTTCAATTTTTGTACTTGTTTGATTTTAGTATTGCCTGATTTGTAATTTGCCTTTTGGGCCCATTCTTTTGCTGATAACTATGCATTCTGTCTTCTTGTAGTTTATACTTAGTCCTTTCTTCTAGCTCTCTTTCGCTATCTTCCGCAGGAGCTTCTGTAGTTTCCTTTCTGAGTCTGCTATCAACACTGTGTCATCTGTTTGACTTAAGTTTTTGAGATTGTGGACGCCACTAATGAATCCTGATAGGATTCCTAATTCTCTCAGAATCGCGCCGCTGTAAAGATTGAATAAGTCCGGTGAGAAGACACATCCTTGTCTTACACTCCTTTCTATTTTTGTGTATCTGATGAACACATTTTCTATCCGTTTGCATGCGGTTTGCTGCCAGTATAAATGATCTGATTCTTGCAAGAATTTCCAAATCAATTTTTTTCGCCGTAAAAAGACGCTCAAATTTCCTGCGCAAATATATGGCGCGGCATTGACACCAGAAAACAAATGTTCTAAAAGGGATAAAAAAAATTTACATCAAAATCCTTTGATATTCCCTCTTAGTACAGGGTGACCCCAAAAAACGGGAATTTTTGAAGTGCGTATTGCCAGACATGAGCAAGTGGCAACACAGCGAGACAGTGACCTTGAGCAAGTAAACATTTCGCCATTTAGAATTCAAGATGAAATTAACAGTATCCCAACTGAGATGTTGCAGCAGTCAATGAGGAATCTCAACAGCAGATTTCAAGAATGCATTCGTACAGGAGGACGCCATCTACAGGACGTAATTTTAAAAAAAATGAAAATTCCATCATTGTTTCTTAAATGGCATGTTTTAAGGTTTCAATTACTATGAATAAAATATTTTTCTTCCATCACTCTTGGTTTTATTGGATTGTTAAAAAGTTTCCGTTTTTTGGGGGTCACCCTGTATTCATAACCCTCGAAGAAGCCAGGTTCCCGTTTGCTGAGAAAATGAGGTACTGCATAGCCTCTAAAAACTTTGGCTCTCGTAACTACTAGCGTCTCTGTAATAGGGTACTAAATAAGTGCAAGTTCCTCATTTCCCCGCTCTTCAATCGATTTGAGGTGTTATCGTCATCTGCTATTAAAGCTGAATTCTTTGCTTGTAAATTCTCCTCAAACTCTACTCCCGACTTATCTGGATTATCGCTGCCTAACTTCCTACTTAGAACCGATTCTCTGTTGAATGATATGCATATATCCCCATGTGGGTTATACTCGTGAGAACAATTTTTTTGTATTTCTTTAAGGTATTGACTCCCAGGAACCCCTTCAATGAGTCTATTGGAATCTTTTCCAGTCAATCCGAACAACAAGTACAACTGGAATTGGTGATGTTCTCATGTGCCACATTTTTTAGATTTCGATTTCAAGGACCTTGTATTTTGATAGCTTTTTGAAGATCTTCAAAGATACATTGCAGGGACTGCCACATCAATAAGGAGGTAATTTTTTTGTTTGCGGTCTCTAATAACAATGTCTGGCCGATTAGCATTTATTATTATTATTATTATTATTATTATTATTATTATTATTATTATTATTATCAAAATTATTATTATAAAAAAAAGTATTTTACATATTTCAATAAGGTTTTAAGACATTTTATAATGTCATAGTTAATTTATCATCAACCTGCCATTTTAATTGAAAAATAATGACTGAAAATTTGTAACACTGAAAATCTCTTTAATATCAAATCTCTTTTATAGTGATTTATTTGAAGGAAAATTAATAAAGTTTTGAATTAATTACCAGAATTTAAAAATATATTACTTTATGGCTAAAATATAGTGAAAAATTTAAACACGTCAAGATTTATTCCACTTGTCAATTTCATAATACCCCTCTCGTAATGCCTTCACCATTGCAACATCTAACAGTAAAGACTTGGCTCTTTCGATCCTAATATTATATATATCATACGTCTAAAGAAAGTATGACATAAAAACACTGGTTATTAATTTTTGTATCCAAATTATTTACATTGTTTGGACTGTTGTCTACATATTTATTGTCATAATCACGACGTTTCGGTCGATGTAAGCTCCGGCCTTCTTCAGATGATATACGTTAGAATTTCAGATCGAACCCTCTATTTTGTCCACGGGGTATATTGTTCTAATTCCACGTGCCATGCCTTTTCTGGATATCTCAGTTTTTTGATAATTCCCCTTAGTAACTCAAATATTCAAGTTTC